ATTGCACCAGAAACACTGTGTACAGTTCAGGGCACCAGCCTTCAAAATAAAAATATATTGCCGAGTTGAAAAGAATGAAGGGCAACGAAAGAGATCTGAGGGTTAGATCGACGCATCTGTGAGGAATATAATTCTAGAAACTGAGCGTTGGGAGACACCGGAAAGACTAAAGACTTCTTCACAATCACATACCTTCGGCTATGGAATTTGTTTCCACAAGGAGTGGTGAAAGCCATTGGGCTGAACAGCTTTTAAATGGGGTTAGATAAATTCACGGAGAACAGTACCAGTCACAATGGCAGTGTCCTAAATATATATTCAGAGGCGACAGGTCTCTAGAGAACAGTCACCGGGGAACAACAAAAAGAGAGCTACAGCCCTTATGTCCTGATTATGAGCTTCCTACAGCGAACTGATTCAGCCTTGTGGGACTAGGTCATGGGTAGGCAAACTAAGGCCCGGGGGCCGGATCCGGCCCAATTGCCTTCTCAATCCAGCCCGTGGATGGTCCAGGAATCAGCGTGTTTTTACATGCGTAGAATGTGTGCTTTTATTTCAAATGCATCTCTGGGTTATTTGTGGGGCATAGGAATTTGTCCATCCCCCCCCCAAATATAGTCCGGCCCCCCACAAGGTCAGAGGGACAGTGGACCGGCCCCCTGCTGAAAAAGTTTGCTGACCTTGCTAGGCAGACCTTCAGTCTGATCCAGAAATTAGGAGTTCTCTCCTTAATTCATTGAATACATTAGTATAGAGCAGGATGCTGAGGGGCAAAGGAATTCGCCACACAGCAAGCAAAAGCAAAATACCGTATTTTTCGCTCTATAGGACACACTTTTTCCCCCCTCCAAAAAAGAAGGGGAAATGTGTGTGCGTCCTGTGGCGCGAAAGCAGGCTTTCGCTGAAGCCTGGAGAGCGAGAGGGGTCAGTGCGCACCAACCCCTCTCACTCTCCAGGCATCAGGCAGCTATCCGCAAGCCTTTGGAGCGCTCCGAAGGCTTGCGGATAACAGCCTGCAGCCTGGGGAGTGCAGTGCCTGCCGGGCTCCGAAGGCTTGCGGATAGCAGCCTGTTCTGGGGGCTGGGGTCGGGCGAAGCTCAGGCTTCCCCCGCCCCAGCCCTGTGGCTAAAAACGAAGCCAAGACAGCAAGCGGGATCCATCCAGAATTTTTTTTCTTTATCCCCCCCCCAAAAAAATCCTAGGTGCGCCCTATGGTCTGGTGCGCCCTATGGAGCGAAAAATACTGTATTCAACAACGGATGAGGCTGGTGTGGCACAGATCTTTTCCCCGTCCACTGTCAAATATTACCTGGTGACAGCAGAATCACAAGACCTCCCCAAAGCAAAGATTTCACAAGGTGCCTTTTGATTTTGACAATACTCCCTGCACCCCAGTACTTGCCACCTATGAAATACTGAGAGAGGGTGGGATGGAAAGGAAGACTGCAAATGTAAAACTCTCTGGCAACTGGGGAGAGAGGACAAGGAGCGGGAGGATATCACGATTCATATCACCTAAATATTTCGAACATAATATCCTCCCCCATCCAATTATTGCCAGCTATGAAATATTTGAAGTGGGTGGGGTGGAAAGGAGTCCTGCAAATGTAGAACTATTTAGAAATTGGGAGGGGAAACAGGGAGTAGAAAAACATTAAACTTGATATGATGCAAACGTTTTAAAGATACCAATCAAGACCTTCTTTATTATTGGCATATGTGAAATGCGAGGTGTGGGGAGAGGGAGAGGAAAATCCTGAGGATCTACCTCTGATAAAATTGAGGAGAGAGAAAAAACAATAGCAGGACTGCAAATTGATCATGTTTTATTTCATTAAAAAAAGAAAAATCTCTTCCCCCCCCCCATACCTGGCAAGTTCTTTAAAGTTGTGCAACAACACCCCCAACTCCAATTCTTATTTGGGGTGATCTGGTTTAACAACAACAAAAAGGTGGGGGCATCAGGACTTTGATTTGATCTTGTTTTATTTAATTAAAGCATCTCCAAGCACCCCCAATCCCTATTCTTGTTTTATTTAATCAAAGCATCTCCAAGCACCCCCAACTCCAATTCTAATTTGGGGTGATCTGGTTTTAAAAAGTGGGGATAACAGGACTTCAATTTAATCTTGTATTATTTAATGGAAACATCTGCACCCCGCAATTCTTATGAGTCGTGTGAATACCCCCAACTCCAATTCTTATGGGGGGTATTCTGGTAAAAAAGGGGGCAGGATTTCAATTTGATCTTGTTTTATTTAATCAAAGCATCTCCAAGCACCCCCAACTCCAATTCTTATTTGGGGTGATCTGGTTTTTAAAAGTGGGGATAACAGGACTTCAATTTAATCTTGTATTATTTAATGGAAACATCTGCACCCCGCAATTCTTATGAGTCGTGTGAATACCCCCAACTCCAATTCTTATGGGGGGTATTCTGGTAAAAATGGGGGGGCAGCAGGACTTCAATTTGATCTTGTTTTATTTAATTAAAGCATCTCCAAGCACCCCCAACTCCAATTCTTATTTGGGGTGATCTGGTTTTTAAAAGAAAAAGTGGGGATAACAGGACTTCAATTTGATCTTATTCTAATTAATTAAAACATCCGCATCCCCACAATTTTTATGGGTTGTGTGAACACCCCCACTCCAATTCTTATGGGGGGTATTCTGGTAAAAAGGGGGGGCAGCAGGACTTCAATTTGATCTTGTTTTATTTAATTAAAGCCTCCCCACCCCCAATTTTTACAGGTTGTGTGACTATTCCCAACTCCGATTCTCATGGGGGGGAATCAGCCCCCCAACTCCCCCACCTGCCCCCCAAGTGTATCTGCCCCTCCCCCACAGGCCCCTCCCCTCCCCAAGCCCCGCCCCCTCTCCCCCCCGGGCGCCCCCGCCCTCCCCGCCTCACCTTTTTGCCCCTCTTGCCTTCCTCCTCCATGTCTCAGGCGGGGCCCGGAGGCATCTCCCCGCCCGGGCCGCGCGCTCCCTTCACTGCGCCGCCATCCCGGAAGAGCAGGCGCCTCAAGCCGAGCCAAAAGAGCCGCCGCCGCGGCAACAACTTTTCAATCCTGCCGCCATCTTGGGCGTCGGCGTTCCCGGCGTGCCCCGCGCCAGCGCTCGCCTTCATTCAGGACTGGCCGAGAGGCGCCCAACGGCCCGGCGCGGGAGGACTGACGTCAGTCCTCCGGGAAGGAGGAGCGGAGAGGGAGAGAGAGAGAGGGACTCAGTTGCCCAAAGAGGTAGGGGGAAATGTATGAGTTTCCGGTCTGCCCTCAGTTCCGGTTCTGATGGGGTGGTTAAGGAGGGGGGGAAGAGTGGCTGTTGCACCTGAAAAAAGAAGCGCCTTAAAGACTTTTATATTTATTATATTATTTATATATATTATATTATATATATTGTATTATATTATATTGTATTGTATTGTTTGTATTGTATTGTATTGTATTGTATTTATATTATTCCTGAGTAATCTCTATGTGGGACAAGAAGCTACAGTTAGAACTGGATATGGAACAACTGTTTGGTTCAAAATTGGGAAAGGAGTATGGCAAGGCTGTATATTGTCTCCCTGCTTATTTAACTTATATGCAGAATTCATCATGCGAAAGGCTGGGCTGGATGAATCCCTAGGCGGAATTAAGATCGCCGGAAGAAATATCAACAACCTCAGATATGCAGATGACACAACCTTGATGGCAGAAAGTGAGGAGGAATTAAAGAACCTTTTAATGAGGGTGAAAGAGGAGAGCGCAAAATATGGTCTGAAGCTCAACATCAAAAAAACGAAGATCATGGCCACTGGTCCCATCACCTCCTGGCAAATAGAAGGGGAAGAAATGGAGGCAGTGAGAGATTTTACTTTCTTGGGCTCCATGATCACTGCAGATGGTGACAGCAGTCATGAAATTAAAAGACGCCTGCTTCTTGGGAGAAGGGCAATGACAGGCCTAGACAGCATCTTGAGAAGTAGAGACGTCACCTTGCCAACAAAGGTCCGTATAGTTCAAGCTATGGTTTTCCCAGTAGTGATGTATGGAAGTGAAAGCTGGACCATAAAGAAGGCTGATCGCCGAAGAATGGATGCTTTTGAATTCTGGCGCTGGAGGAGACTCTTGAGAGTCCCATGGACTGCAAGGAGATCAAACCTCTCCATTCTGAAGGAAATCAGCCCTGAGTGCTCACTGGAAGGACAGATCCTGAAGCTGAGGCTCCAAGACTTTGGCCACCTCATGAGAAGAGAAGACTCCCTGGAAAAGACCCTGATGTTGGGAAAGATGGAGGGCACAAGGAGAAGGGGACGACAGAGGACGAGATAGTGGGACAGTGTTCTCGAAGCTACAAACATGAGTCTGACCAAACTGCGGGAGGCAGTGGAAGACAGGAGGGCCTGGCGTGCTCTGGTCCAGGGGTCACGAAGAGGCGGACACGACTAAACAACTAAACAACAACAACAAAAGAGCCCAGTGACCCCTTACAGCAGAAGATGGAGGTGGCAACACAGGGATCATATTGTGCTGTAATAAAATGTGCCATCCTTTGAGGTGCCACAAGGCTTTCCACTCTATATGAATTTCTCTATATTCCCAGTCTTCTTCAGTGGCGTAGCGTGGGGCGTGCAGGGGGGGCCGGTTGCACCGGTCGCACCATCTGGGGGGCACACGCTCGCACTCGCAGCGCTAAAATCCACGGCTTAGGCGGCGCAAATTACTTGCCTTGCCCTGGGTGCTGACAACCCACGCTATGCCACTGCTCTTCTTAATCCGGATTCCCACCAACTACAATTGACGGCCGAAGGTCGCTGTTGAGAACCAGTTAGACTGCATCCCCTTTGCTCCTCTGCCCCGCCCGCTCCGCGCGAGGCGAGACCCATTGCCGCCACCTGCTGGCGAGCGGCGCGACTGCAGTTCTATTGAAGCCATCCCTATATAGAGAGACTCGTAAGCCGTAAGGACTGTGAGCCGCTAGGGGGCGAAGGAGAGACTTCGGGGAAGGAGGAGGCGGGGTTTGGACGCGGTGGCGTCACACGCACGGAGGAGGCGGGTCTTACGAAGCAGAGCGAAGCAGATGGCGGTTTCTGCTTCGGGGCCACCAGGAAAATGGATCTGTCGCCATCCGCGGCGACCGAGTCCAGTCCGCGGCCTGGAGGGGTGCAGGTAGGTACTTTAGTCTCTGGTGTCTTGTGGGGATGCGGCTTTTAACCCGGGTTTGTTGAGTCTCGGCGCTAAACGGGCTGTTGTGTTGGGCCTTATTTTCTGGGTGGACTACAGTTCCCAGAAAGCAGCGCGGCCCTTTCTCTCTAGTCTATATATAAGAGGAGGAATGGGGGATGCTGGGAGTTGTAGTTTAGCTGTTGGGTCTGGTTTCTTTATATGCTGATTTTCCTCTGCTGCATTTTCGAGCCTGTTTTCCCTTTGGGATAGATCTGGCGTTAGGAAAAGGCATGCTTTCTCAGCTGTAGGCTGGAATGCACGTGGTGTGGACTAGAAACTTGACTTTTGGAAAAACGAGGGCCAGGGGTGCTTAGAAACAGCCTTTTCCTTTTTTTAAAAAAATCGTTTTTATTGATTTTCCAATAAAAAACATCCTATTAATATATCCAATCCTAATACTCCAATTAAAATAAAAAAACCTAAAATTAAAAAAAGTCCAAATTATATTTATTAATTTTTCAGAGCTCCCCATGGTCTGGATCTCTAAAGCAAAAATCTCCACATCTTAGTCCTGCTTCTCGTGGTTTCAGAAACAGCCTTTTCGAATCTGCTTTTACTTTTATTTTTCTTTGCATTCTCCCAATGCCCTGGAAGGAAGATTGTGGTTAGTCACAAAGTTCTCCTTCCATTTTGCACCAGTGGTCTTGGACCCAAAGCCTTGCGCTGCATTCCCCGGTGATCTTTCCAATTCCTCTCCTCCTTTGCTTTGATTTGTTAGGAACAGCCGTGCTTGTGTCCTGCCTGCTGGAGGCGTCCGATTGGCTCCTGCGACGACAAAATGGTGGACTGGAGGAGCCTTTGGGAGCTGGGGAAATTAACGCTACCTTGCAGAGGTAAGAAAGAGTTTCTCTGAAAAGATGTAGAAACAGCAATCCGTGCAGCGCCTCTCAGGATAGCGGATAGAAAAAGTTGTAGTTCAAGAACATCGTATGAGCTTCGAAGCTATTCTGTTACAGTGGTGCCTCGCAAGACGAGATTAATTCGTTCTGCAAGTTTTTTCTTCTTGCGAGTTTTTCGTCTTGCGAAACACGGTTTCCCATAGGAATGCATTGAAAATCAATCAATGCGTTCCTATGGAAACCGCCTTCAGACCAGGTCCGGGGACAGTCTGTCCCCCGACCTCCTCTGAAGGCTGGGGGGGGGGAGAAGGGCTTCTCATCCCACCGCCAGCCTTCAGAAGGCTGTTCTGAAGGCTGGTGGTGGGAAGAAAAGCCCTTCTCCCCACCTCCCGCCCCGCAAGCTCTGGGGACAGGAGGGCTTTGCTGCCGACCGCCAGCATTTTAAAAGCCCCCGGGGCAGCAGAGACTTCTCCGCTGTCCCAGGGCGATTTTAAAATGCTGGTGGGCGGCAGCGAAGCCTCCGCTGTCCCGGGGCGATTTTAAAATGCTGGTGGGCGGCAGCGAAGCCTCCGCTGTCCCGGGAAGGCAGGCGGGGGGGAGCAAAGACCTTTGCCCCCCGCCGGCCTTCAGAAGAGGTCCAGGACCTCTTCTGAAGGCTGGCGGGGGGCAAAAGTCTTTGCTCCCGACCGCCAGCATTTTAAAAGAGGTCCCCGGAGATTTCCCTATGGGCTTTCTTCTTGCGAAGCAAGCCCATAGGGAAATTCGTCTTGCGGTACGACTCAAAAACGGAAAACTCCTTTGTCTTGCGAGTTTTTCGTTTTGCGAGGCGTTCGTCTTGCGAGGCACCCCTGTACTTAGTTTATTCTTTGCTATATCACCACAACACATTGGTCTTTGGCTGCGCCCGCACCATATGTTTAAAGCACATGACACCCCTCCGCCCCAAAAAAGAGAGTCCTGGGAACTTTAGTTCTGTGAGGGGGGGAAGCCATGTGCTTTAAATGTAGGCACGTATGTAGTCTTACACGCTGTGGGTTCTGCTACCCTAGTTTAATTCTTCATCGGATACCACAAACATAAAAGGGGCTCAGCCCCTGCAATAGTGGCCCAAACCATAATATTTGCAGATACCTCTGTGTGTGTGTAAAGTGTTGTACTAGATTTGAACTTGCATGTCTGAGGTGGGGAAGGGAGGCAAAGCAGCAATCTTATCCGACTCAGGAGCTGGGCTGGAAGGTATTTCTCCTCCTGAGCCTCCAGCACCAAGCAATGTTAACCCTGAATCTCAGTCACATACATGGTAACTGGACTTCTTAAATTGCTCGCAGTCGGACAGTTCCCAGTCGCAAACGCACCTGGCGTCTGCCTGATGTCAGACACTGCTTAGCAGAAAACAGTACAGTCATATCTTGGGTTACAGACACTTCAGGTTGCGCGTTTTTGGGTTGCATGTTGCACCGAACCCAGAAGTACCAGAACGGGTTACTTCCGGGTTTCGGCGCTTGCGCAGAACCACTAAATTGTGCTATGCGCAGAAGTGCCAAATCGCAACCCGCGCGTGTGCAGACACTGCGCTGTGGGTTGCGAATGTGCCTCCCACACAGATCACAACCTGAGCATCCACTGTACTAGGCCAGAGAAAGAGACATGTGAAGTGCACATCATAACCGTCCATTGTTGGTGCACTTGATCCAGAACTTCCATTTCTTAACCTCCGGTGCAAAGGATAGAGATCTCAAAAGCAAAGATCGGGCTGCACTCGTAAGACAACCTTTCCCAACCTATTGTCCCACCAGCAGATGTTGATCTCCAATGCCCATGAGTGCAAGTCTGCACCACTCTGCAGGTCTAGACAATGTGGCCTTGCTGGTGGGAGTCCAGCGTCCTCTGAGTGGCAAAATATTTGGGAGGTTGTTGTAGCAAGATTGCGGGCCTTTCACGTTAGGAGGGTTGTGTAGTGCTGAGTTCTTCCCCTGCCTGTTGCGCTAGGTCTAAATAGTAACGCAACGAAAAGGAGGCATTTATTTATTTCGTAAAATTCACACACTGCTTTCTTGGAAAAAAACCCCGAACCCTCAAAGCGGTTTACAAAAAAATAAAGCAACGAAATACAGTCGTACCTTGGAAGTCTAACAGAATCCGTTCCAGAAGGCAGTTCGACTTGCAAAACGTTCAACTTCCAAAGCGCAGCTTCTGATTCAATCGGAAGCCCCATCAGATGTTCAGCTTCCAAAAGAACGTTCAAAAACCAAAACGCTCACTTCCAGTTTGCGATCGTTTGGGAGCCAGAACGTTCGACTCCTGAGGCGTTCGGGAGCCGAGGTAGGACTGTAATAAGAATTAGTAACAATAATTTAAGACTTTGGCAAAGTTAAAAGAAGAACGGTAGGCTAGAAACAGATTAAAACTCGCACCAGCTTTCTAAACACAGGAATAGGGAATGCTAAACCATTCTATGTTATTTTTGTCCCCCTCCTCTTTGCAGATTCTCTTTGGGATGGTGCCATTTAGAGAGGAACTTGGCTAAGAAGACTGCGATGTTCCTCATGCTTACAAGAAAGTCCAGTTGGGCTTAACCTGTGAAGTTTCCAGGCTGTAAGTCTCCTGCTCAAAACTGCTCTGAAATATGAGCCGCCCCTTTCTCCTCGCAAGCCTTCCAGCATGGCTGGGTCTGCGCTGTGACCCTGATCATTCCTGCAGTGCTTGCCAGAGCAGTTGTGAGATGGTTTGAGGGCCCCCTCTGCCCCGACTTCGGAGGGAGGTTATAGAAATCTCGGCCAAGCCCTTTCCTGGCAGGCTGCTGAGTTGCAGGCTTCCCGTTTCACTCCTCACCCCTGGTCTCCCAGAACCAAGAGAGGCGTGAAGAGGGCAGAGGAGAAGTTAGCTTCGTGCAGGCGCAGTCTCTGATTGCTTGGGGAAAACCCTGGAGAGGAGGGGAATTTGTGGTGAGGCAGGGACCTTCAGTTTCCGTAGCTGCTTCATGGAGGCAAGACTGCCGGAGATGAGTCGCTGTGCTCACTAGGCACTCTTGTGCGGATCCTGGTTTCGGTAATAAAAAGTTAATAGTAAATAGTAACGCAACGAAAAGGAAGCATTTATTTATTTCATAATATTCATACGCTGCTTGCTTGGAAAAAACCCCGAACCCTCAAAGTGGTTTTCAAAAATAAAGCAACAAAATGCAGTCGTACCTCGGAAGTCGGACAGAATCCGTTCAGGAAGTCCGTTCGACTTGCAAAACGTTCAACTTCCAAAGCGCGGCTTCTGATTCAGTCGGAAGCCCGGTCAGATGTTCAGCTTCCAAAAGAATGTTCAAAAACCAAATCGCTCACTTCCAGTTTTCGATGGTTGGGAGCCAGAACGTTTGAATCCCAAGGTGTTAGGGAGCCAAGGTACAACTGTAATAAGAATTAGCAACAATAATTTAAGACTTTGGCAAAGTTAAAAAAAGAACACTAGACTAGAAACAGATTAAAACTCACACCAGCTTTCTAAACACATGAATAGGGAATGCTAAACCATTCTATGTTATTTTTGTCCCACTCCTCATTGCAGATTCTCTTTGTGATGATGTCATTTAGAGAGGAACTTGGCTAAGAAGACTGCGATGTTCCGCATGCTTACAAGAAAGTCCAGTTGGGCTTAACCTGTGAAGTTGCCAGGCTGTAAGTCTCCTGCTCAAAACGGCTCTGAAATATGGGCCGCCCGTTTCTCCTCGCAAGCCTTCCAGCATGGCTGGGTCTGCGCTGTGACCCTGATCATTCCTGCAGTGCTTGCCAGAGCAGTTGTGAGATGGTTTGAGGCCCCCCTCTGCCCCAACTTCGGAGGGAGGTTATAGAAATCTCGGCCAAGCCCTTTCCTGGCAGGCTGCTGAGTTGCAGGCTTCCCGTTTCACTCCTCACCCCTGGTCTCCCAGAACCAAGAGAGGCGTGAAGAGGGCAGAGGAGAAGTTAGCTTCGTGCAGGCGCAGTCTCTGATTGCTTGGGGAAAACCCTGGAGAGGAGGGGAATTTGTGGTGAGGCAGGGACCTTCAGTTTCCGTAGCTGCTTCATGGAGGCAAGACTGCCGGAGATGAGTCGCTGTGCTCACTAGGCACTCTTGTGCGGATCCTGGTTTCGGTAATAAAAAGTTAATAGTAAATAGTAACGCAACGAAAAGGAAGCATTTATTTATTTCATAATATTCATACACTGCTTGCTTGGAAAAAACCCCAAACCCTCAAAGTGGTTTTCAAAAATAAAGCAATGAAATACAGTCATACCTCGGAAGTCGAACAGAATCCGTTCCTTCCAAAGCGCGGCTTCTGATTCAGTCGGAAGCCCCGTCAGATGTTCAGCTTCCAAAAGAACGTTCAAAAACCAAAACACTCACTTCCAGTTTTCGATGGTTTGGGAGCCAGAACGTTTGAATCCCAAGGTGTTAGGGAGCCAAGGTACGACTGTAATAAGAATTAGTAACAATAATTTAAGACTGGCAAAGTTAAAAGAAGAACACTAGACTAGAAACAGATTAAAACTCACACCAGCTTTCTAAACACATGAATAGGGAATGCTAAACCATTCTATGTTGTTTTTGTCCCCCTCCTCATTGCAGATTCTCTTTGTGATGATGTCATTTAGAGAGGAACTTGGCTAAGAAGACTGCTATGTTCCGCATGCTTACAAGAAAGTCCAGTTGGGCTTAACCTGTGAAGTTGCCAGGCTGTAAGTCTCCTGCTCAAAACTGCTCTGAAATATGGGCCGCCCCTTTCTCCTCGCAAGCCTTCCAGCATGGCTGGGTCTGCGCTGTGACCCTGATCATTCCTGCAGTGCTTGCCAGAGCAGTTGTGAGATGGTTTGAGGCCCCCCTCTGCCCCAACTTCGGAGGGAGGTTATAGAAATCTCGGCCAAGCCCTTTCTTGGCAGGCTGCTGAGTTGCAGGCTTCCCGTTTCACTCCTCACCCCTGGTCTCCCAGAACCAAGAGAGGCGTGAAGAGGGCAGAGGAGAAGTTAGCTTCGTGCAGGCGCAGTCTCTGATTGCTTGGGGGAAACCCTGGAGTGGAGGGGAATTTGTGGTGAGGCAGGGACCTTCAGTTTCCGCAGCTGCTTCATGGAGGCAAGACTGCCGGAGATGAGTCACTGTGCTCACTAGGCACTCTTGTGCGGATCCTGGTTTCGGTAATAAAAAGTTAATAGTAAATAGTAACGCAACGAAAAGGAAGCATTTATTTATTTCATAATATTCATACACTGCTTGCTTGGAAAAAACCCCAAACCCTCAAAGTGGTTTTCAAAAATAAAGCAATGAAATACAGTCATACCTCGGAAGTCGAACAGAATCCGTTCCTTCCAAAGCGCGGCTTCTGATTCAGTCGGAAGCCCCGTCAGATGTTCAGCTTCCAAAAGAACGTTCAAAAACCAAAACGCTCACTTCCAGTTTTCGATGGTTTGGGAGCCAGAACGTTTGAATCCCAAGGTGTTAGGGAGCCAAGGTACGACTGTAATAAGAATTAGTAACAATAATTTAAGACTGGCAAAGTTAAAAGAAGAACGGTAGGCTAGAAACAGATTAAAACTCGCACCAGCTTTCTAAACACATGAATAGGGAATGCTGAACCATTCTATGTTATTTTTGTCCCCCTCACCTTTGCAGATTCTCTTTGTGATGATGTCATTTAGAGAGGAACTTGGCTAAGAAGACTGCGATGTTCCGCATGCTTACAAGAAAGTCCAGTTGGGCTTAACCTGTGAAGTTGCCAGGCTGTAAGTCTCCTGCTCAAAACTGCTCTGAAATATGAGCCGCCCCTTCCTCCTCGCAAGCCTTCCAGCATGGCTGGGTCTGCGCTGTGACCCTGATCATTCCTGCAGTGCTTGCCAGAGCAGTTGTGAGATGGTTTGAGGGCCCCCTCTGCCCCGACTTCGGAGGGAGGTTATAGAAATCTCGGCCAAGCCCTTTCCTGGCAGGCTGCTGAGTTGCAGGCTTCCCGTTTCACTCCTCACCCCTGGTCTCCCAGAACCAAGAGAGGCGTGAAGAGGGCAGAGGAGAAGTTAGCTTTGTGCAGGCGCAGTCTCCGATTGCTTGGGGAAAACCCTGGAGTGGAGGGGAATTAGGCAGCTGTGGTGAGGCAGTTAAAAACTCCAACTTGCTCAGTGTTATTTACTGCTGTCTCGCTCCTGTCAGAAGGGGAGGGAGTTAAAAAGGAACCTGATAGCTCCACGCACCCTTCCTCATTTCATCTCGCTTCTAGGCTTAGCTGGAGAAGATCTCTACCTCCTCAGTCCCAACGATAGCCATTCATTTCTCTGTCTCTTTAGTTCAAGATGTGAGCTCGGATCACGTTGGATCCAGCAGCGCTGAGTGAAGTGGATCCTTCCTTAGTGACCTTCTCAGACCACACCGCCTGGCAATTAACCCACCAGACGGACTTGAGTCCCAGCTCTGAACAGTGTTTCAGCTCCGCGAAAGGTGAACAATTTGCTCTTGGTACTCGGCTAGATCGGTAAAGGAAAAACATTTTATAGTCAATTTTATAGTCAATGTTAGGCCGAATTGCAGTGATTAAAATGAATGTATTGCCTAGAATGTTATTTTTGTTTCAGACCTTGCAGATACTTGACAAGATGGAATGTTTTAAGAGGTGGCAGAAAGATATCTCGAAATTTGTCTGGCAGGGCAAAAAGCCCAGAATCAAATTTAAAATATTGACAGACGCTAAAGAAAGAGGGGGTTTTGCCCTGCCGGACTTAAAATTGTACTATGAGGCAGCAGCTTTTTGCTGGCTGAAGGAATGGATGCTCCTCGAGAACACAGACATCTTGGATCTGGAAGGTTTTAACAATGTTTTTGGTTGGCATGCATATCTATGGTATGACAAAATTAAGCAGCATAGTGCCTTTAAAAATCACATTGTTAGAAAAGCATTGTTTAATGTATGGATGAGATATAAAGATCTGTTGGAAAACAAAACCCCTAGATGGGTGTCACCAGTCGAGGCTAAAGCAGTAAAGAAACTCAATATGGAGGTCGGATGGCCGAAGTATTGGGAAATTTTGGAACAGGATGGAGATAAGTGGAAATTACAAAGCTATGACAAATTGAAACATAAAGTACAAAACTGGCTTCAATATTATCAAATAATGGAGCTTTTCAAACAGGACAGGAAAATTGGCTTTCAGGTGGAAAAATCAAAACTAGAGATTGAACTGCTAGAACCCAATACTAAGAATTTATCAAGAATGTATAACTTGTTGTTGAAATGGAATACACAGGATGAAACGGTGAAATCAGCTATGATTAAATGGGCACAAGATATTGGTCATGACATTATGCTTGCTGACTGGGAACAGTTATGGACCACCGGTGTTAAGTTTACGGCATGTAATGCCTTAAGAGAAAACATAATGAAAATGATTTACAGGTGGTACATGACCCCAGCCAAGCTTGCAAAAATTTACCATTTGCCCGATAACAAATGTTGGAAATGTAAAGAGACTGAAGGTACCTTCTATCACCTTTGGTGGACATGCCCGAAGATTAAGGCTTTCTGGGAAATGATCTATAATGAAATGAAAAAGGTACTTAAAAGTACCTTTTTTAAAAAACCAGAGGCCTTTCTCTTGGGCATTGTCGGCCAATTGGTGCCAAAGAGGGATAGAACTTTTTTTATGTACGCTACAACAGCAGCAAGAATACTTATCGCAAAGTATTGGAAGACACAAGATTTACCCACTCTGGAAGAATGGCAGATGAAAGTGATGGACTATATGTCATTGGCTGAGATGACAGGCAGAATACGTGACCAAGGAAAAGAGACGGCGGAAGAAGAATGGAGAAAATTTAAAAGTTATCTTAAGGACTATTATAAACTCGATGAATGTTAGAATGTTATGGTTTTCAGAAACAAAGGGATACAGTGATATAAGGTCAGATTATAGAGATAACTAAGGACAGAGGTTGGAAAGTAATATTGGGAGTTGCTATAAAACTATGGACATTGGGATGCAGAAAGGGGGGGGTATGGGGGAGTCTGAGAAAAGAGGGTTATGAGAAACAATATGAAATTATGCGTGTTTGTATGTTTTTTTTTTTTAAGTGTCTGTTTGTCTTTAAAATTTTGTAAAACCAATAAAAAAAATTTTTTTTTAAAAAAAAAGGAAAAACATTTTATATGTGATTCAACACTATGGCGCTGTGGCGTTCTGTTTTTGCCAACCTGATTTCTCATTATAAAGGTCATTTTTTCTTAAACCCTTTCTTGATGTGTCAAAATCCCGCCTTGGCTTGAGGCGTTTCAAAATCTGAGAACTCATTGAGGCTGCTTCGCAGCTTGTTTATGTTGTGAACCGCCCTAAAACCTGCAGGTCTTTAGGGCAGAACACAAATTTAATAAATAACCTGTCAGGGAACTGACATCAGAGACACGGGAGAAGGAGAGGGTCTCAGATTCTGCAGGTGAAGGTCCTAGCACAAGGGGGAGACTCAGCTTGGTGGAAGGGGAAGGAAATACGCGTGACACCAAGAGTCCAGGAGAGCAAGGGGAAGAGGAGGTGGAAGGGCTCCGGGATTCTTCCCTGGAAGTCAGTGAAGAGAGCCCAGGCACTCCACTACCCATGCCCACCCTGCGCAGGAGACTCCTGCGCAATGAGAGGCGGAGACGATTAGGTGTCAAACAGCTTTTATGCTGGCAGAGGTTTAAGAAACGCCCACAGACAGATTCTGCCAGTGACTGAGGCAGTCAAGCGGAGATGGGCTGTGCAGTCCGGAGGGTTTAACCAGGCAACCAAGCACCCAAACGGGGTCGGCTTACGCACGAGTAACTCCAAACCACCACATAACCCTTGATCTCTGGGGCTTTCCAGTGGCAGGTTGCGTTGGTCTGGCTGTAACTGTCCAGTCTCCCAAGATGGTGCAAGATTTCCCAGTTAAGAAAGTGTTGTAAACAATAAAAATCTGCCCTTATTCCCTTCTGGGGGACACAAGAGCCCTTACAGAGTCCTTTGCAGGTTCTCCATTGGTCGAAGAAAACAACAGAGGCCAACCAGAGAATATTGAGAAGCAAAGCAGCTTCTAAGCCTGATCTTTATTGATCTGTTGCAACAGGGTGTCCCCTCACACGCAGGAAAGGAGGAGGAACCCAGAACAATGGCACGCAAGGCCTTATATAAAAGGTAAAGGTACTCCTGCCCGTACGGGCCAGTCTTGCCAGACTCTGGGGTTGTGCGCTCATCTCACTCTATAGGCTGGGAGCCAGCGCTGTCTGCAGACACTTCCGGGTCACGTGGCTGGCGTGACAAAGCTGCATCTGGCGAGCCAGCGCAGCACACGGAACGCCGTTTACCTTCCCGCTGGTAAGCGGTCCCTATTTATCTACTTGCACCCGGGGGTGCTTTCGAACTGCTAGGTTGGCAGGCGCTGGGACCGAGCAACGGGAGCTCACCCCGCTGCGGGGATTCGAACCGCTGACCTTTCGATCGGCAAGCTCTAGGCGCTGAGGCTTTTACCCACAGCGCCACCCGCGTCCCTATAAGGCCTTATATAGACATTTGAAATTCCCTGCCCTGGAGCTCAAGACCACCCCTCCATATATCATACTTACATCACAGAAGGGGTGTAACCCAAAACCACCCCCCAGATACATCATACTTACATCACGGAACAGGTGGTCTACAACAGAAATTTGAATGTTGTTTTTCCTGTCTGCCAGGTTATCTGATAAATCCTTACCTGGTTGCCTTTCCTGGTATTCTGTCACCCTTTGAAATGGTGATTACTAAATTCTGTGACAAGGAAGGTTTTTTCCACCGTGTTTGCTTGGTACGTTTATGAACATTTATTATAGATCTTTAAGACCTTAGAATTCTTATTACAAAAGCTTGAAGCTTCTGCATCTGTACAACAAGGCTGGTGGACCTCTGCCTTTCCAGTTATGTTTGCACTACATATCCCAGTGTGAGGTCCAGCCCCGAGGGCCTTCTGGCGGTTCCCTCATTGCGAGAAGCAAAGCTACAGGGAACCAGGCAGAGGGCCTTCTCGGTAGTGGCACCCGACCTGTGGAACGCCCTCCCACCAGATGTCAAAGCGATAAACAACTACCTGACATTCAGAAGACATCTTAAGGCAGCCCTGTTCAGGGAAGTTTTTAACATGTGATATTTTACTGTATTTGTGGTTTTTATGGAAGCCGCCCAGAGTGGCTGGGGAGGCCCATCCAGATGGGCAGGGTATAAATAATAAATTATTATTATTATTATTATTATTATTATTATTATTATTATTATTATTATTATTATTAGAATTTTATGGTCTTAGATATATGGTAACATTCATAACCGCACATACATAGATCAGCACAGGAAGACCGACCTGGAACCATTTTGATTCCTAAACTGACCAAATGTTTTCTCTGCAAGGTCAAAATGGAAAAGCCCCCCCCCCCCAATTGTCTTTTCCTTCACAAATCCTGTCTTAAGGGTATGTCTGTGTTTGAATAAGGGTGAGAGCCTTATCGTTACAAAAGACTGGCCAAGCTCCTCAGGCAATCCAATCAAGTAACCTGCCAGACAGGAAATAAACAAGGACAAGGGAAAAACAATATTGAAATTTCTGTTTTAAGACCACCTTTTCTGTGATGTATCTGAGGGGTGGTCTTAGGTTACACCCCTTCTGTGGTGTATGTATAATGTTTCTGGGGGTGGTCTTGATTTACAGGGTGGGAATTTCAAAAGTCTTTATAAGGCCTTGCATGCCATTTTTCTGGGTCCTCCTCCTCTCCTGCATGAGAGGGGAGCACCCTGTTGCAACAGATCAATAAAGATCGTGCTTACTTGCCGCTTTGCTTCTCAATATTCTCTGCTTGGCCTCTGTTATTTTCTTCTACCAATAGGGAACCCACTTAAGGACTCTATATGGGCTCTTGGATACCCCATAAGGGAAAAAGGGCAGGTTTTTATTTACAACACCAGCATTCCTGAGCAGTGGCCATGTTGTCTGGGGGCTGATGGGAGTTTGACAGCAGCTGGAGGACCTTTGCTTCCTCACCCCTAGCCTAAGGCAGATGGGGATTCTTCATGTCGAAGAATACTGACCTAACCGCAGCTCTTGGGACAGAGGTTTTGTGCCTGTCTTTGCCTTCTCCTTCTCCCACAAGCCTTCCAGCGTGGCTCGGTCGTGCCCGTGACCCTGATCATTCCTGTAGTGCTTGCAAGAGCAAATCTGTGATGTTTGAGGCCTCCCTCTGCTCTGTCTTCGGGGTGAGGTTATAGAAATCTCAGACAAGCGTTTCCCAGGAGAATCGGGTGCCAAAGAAGGCGCAGCTGCTGCAGTGAGAACAGGGCAAGCTGAGGGCACTGAGACTTTTAAAACCATCTTGCAGTCAGTCTTAAGGGGTCTCGTCAGCCGCAGGGCTGTCTAATCTGGAAATCTGTTGCCAGTGGAAATGAAAACGAGTTTATACATCTCTTTCAAGAAGCAAACTAGCAAAACCCTTTTTGTTTTGAATGGGTGCTTTTGTTGGACGAGAGAATCTCTCTTTAGTTGCTGTCCTGGGTGCATTCATTTGAACCGAGTGGAATTTGTTTCTGAGTAGGGAGTGCATCTGCTCAGACTTTGTGTTTGGATTTGGAGAGGCTTGGGTTGACAGTCGTTTCAGAGAAGTGGCAAAAGCGAGGACTCCTGAAATCCTGAATGGGGTAACTGTGCCCCTGAAGGACCAGGTGCTGTCCATGGAGGTGCAGGTCAATACTGTGTCCAGGACAGCTGTCTACCAGCCCCATCTGGTACACCGGATGAGCCCCTCCCTGCCCACAGATTGTCTCGCTAGAGTGCTTCATGCAATCTCCCGCTTGGACTCCTGCAATGCACTCTACGTGGGGCTCCCTTTGAAGGTGACCCGGAAACTACAACTAATCCAGAATGTAGCAGCTAGACTGGTGACTGGGAGCGGCCGCCAAGACCACATAACACCGGTCTTGAAAGACCTACACTGGCTCCCAGTACGTTTCCGAGCACAATTCAAAGTGTTGGTGCTGACCTTGAAAGCCCTAAACAGCCTCAGTCCTGTATACCTGAAGGAGCGTCTCCACCCCCATCGTTCTGCCCGGACGCTGAGGTCCAGTGCCAAGGGCCTTCTGGCAGTTCCCTCATTGGGAGAAGCCAAGTTACAGTAAACCAGGCAGAGGGCCTTCTCGGTAGTGGCACCCGCCCTGTGGAACGCCCTCCCACCAGATGTCAAAGAGAAAAACAACTACCAGATTTTTAGAAAACATCTGAAGGCAGCCCTGTTTAGGGAAGCTTTTAATGTTTGATGCATTACTGTATTTTAATATTCTGTTGGAAGCTGCCCAGAGTGGCTGGGGAAGCCCAGCTAGATGGGCAGGGTATAAATAATAATAATAATTATTATTTTTAATTAATTATTACTGTTGTGGGAGAGGAAGGGAAAGGAGATTGTTAGCCGCTTTGAGACTCCTTAAGGTAGTGATAAAGCGGGATATCAAATCCAAACTCTTCTTCTTTCTCAGCTAGATCTTTCAGCATCACTGTGCAGATTTTAAAGCTCCTGCCTGTTTTGTCTTCCAGAACCCTGGAGAAAGAGGTGCTGAGCAGAGCAGTGCAGCTGCTAGGATAAGTGACTGATCCCTGCTCAACAACTGCTGTTGCCTTAATATCTGAGCCCGACCAGCCGGCTGTTGCGTTTAACCCGTGGGCGCGGCGTTGCGCTTTCCCCCGGCTCACCCATCCCGTTCTGAGTCATTTCGCTGGGTGACAAAATCTGGGGAGGATGGCAAACCTGAAAGAGGAAGTCTCTGGTCATAGCGCAAGATTCTTTTAATAAATAAGCAAATGCAGTAAATCGTGCGGCGTTTTGTCTCTTGTGGGGGGGGGCGGGGTTTGGCTTTTTTCCTCTGCTCTGAAAAGGAAGTCCTTTTGCAAAGGGCTTCTGGGCTGAGCTCTGGGCATCGGGGTGCGGGCAGGTAATCGGGCATCTTACTAAGCTGTTTCCTGAGTGTGTGTGTGCTTGCCTCGCCACTTCCTCTATTCGAAGGAAGAAGGAAATTCGCTCACCCTGAAAAACATTTGCCATTTTTTTCCCACCTGCTTTTATCTACTGGACTAGTTAGCTGCAAAGAGGGAAGGCGCAGTTGTTTAGAAGCTGGAGGGCCAAGGCTGATGGACCGAGGAAAGCGGCAGGAATAAATTCAGGACACGCAAAACAGTTTTTTTTTTTTTATGCAGCCCATAGTTAAACTGTGGAACTCACTCCTGCAGCGATTGTGGGGAATTTTAGGACCATGGGCACATTTTGCCTGGTTGTGGGTTCCCCATCACCCTCTCGTTAGTTGGGGCTCCCTTTCCAAGCTGTTCAGACGTGCAAAATTGGATCACAACCTTATTGCACCACTTCTGCAAAATTCACTTGTAGCAAAGGAGTATATTATTATAGCTGTATGTTTACTTAACACCCCACGTTTCCCCCAGACTCAAGGCGGCATAAACAAACTAAAACGACACAGGAAAAAATGCACAAAGCGAAAAACAAAGAAGTGCAATAGTTAATGAGGAATTAAATCAAATAGAATTAAAGCGATCTGGGAACAAATGATGAAAATGCAAATAATAGGAGCAACGCAGCACTATTAAAGCCCTTTCCTTTGCATAGGTGTGTTGGAATAAAACAGTCTTTCATCTGCTGGTGGAAGGAAAATGAGAAGGGAGCCGTTCTGGCATGTATAGGGTGGCATTTGCAGAATTTGGGAGTAGCCTAGCAAGGAAGTCTCTGCTGCCTACAACTACCGTATTTTTTGCTCTATAAGACTCACTTTTTCCCTCCTAAAAAGTAAGGGGAAATGTGTGTGCGTCTTATGGAGCGAATGCAGGCTGCGCAGCTATCACAGAAGCCGGAACAGCAAGAGGGATTGTTGCTTTCACTGCGCAGCAATCCCTCTTGCTGTTCTGGCTTCTGAGATTCTGAATATTTTTTTTCTTGTTTTCCTCCTCCTAAAACTAGGTGCGTCTTGTGGTCTGGTGCGTCTTATAGAGCGAAAAATACGGTAATCCCTGCTCAATAATTGGCTGTAGTTCTTTTGAGGCAGCCCAAACTGGATGTAACTTAAGTCATATAGGTAAAGGGACCCCTGACCATTAGGTCCAGTCGTGGCTGACTCTGGGGTTGTGGCGCTCATCTCGCTTTATTGGCCGAGGGAGCCGGCATACAGCTTCCGGGTCATGCGGCCAGCATGACTAAGCCTCTTCTGGCAAACCAGAGCAGCGCATGGAAACGCCGTTTACCTTCCCGCCAGAGCGGTCCCTATTTATCTACTTGCACTTTGATGTCCTTTCAAACTGCTAGGTTGGCAGGAGCAGGGACCGAGCAACGGGAGCTCATCCCGTCGCGGGGATTCGAACTGCCGACCTTCTGGTTGGCAAGTCCTAGGCTCAGTGGTTTAGGCCACAGCACCACCCGCGTCCCTTAACTTATAACTTAAGTCATATAGTATCTGTGTAATAAAGCTCAGCCCCAGAGGGCGGCTGCTTCTGCCGGCTGATTCAGCAGGGATGGTTTAGGACTCTAATCCGAGCTAGAAGCACTTTCTTGTGCAAAGACCTCTCGCAGAAGGGAGGAAATTACATCACTAGCCACAGGCCAGCGCTGAATGTCGGGGTGGCCGAGCGAGTGCTGCAAAAACAAGCCGCGGAGGGTGCAAGCATCTCTTTCAAACTGGACAAAGCAAGGGAGAGGCTGTGTCTTCTCATAGGTCGTCCTGCTAGGACACTGTCCCTAAAAGTCTTTTAATTGCTCCATCGCCTGCCTGGTTCAAAATGGAGAAGAGAACAGAAATGGCACAAGGGATTGGAGGAAATGCTCTTGGGGAGATGGGGACGAAAATGGGGTTTTTAGGGTCAGTTGGGGTGGGAATAAGAAACCTCCCTATTTTCAACGGAGGAAACTTGGAGGATGTGTAAATGTGTGACTGTTCCATTTCAGAACTTGCTAGCCAGGGGACACGGGTGGCGCTGTGGGTTAAACCACAGAGCCTAGGACTTGCCGATCAGAAGGTCGGCGGTTCGAATCCCCGCGACGGGGTGAGCTCCCGTTGCTGGGTCCCTGCTCCTGCCAACCTAGCAGTTCGAAAGCACGTCAAAGTGCAAGTAGATAAATAGGTACCACTCCGGCGGGAAGGTAAACGGCATTTCCGTGCACTGCTCTGGTTTGCCAGAAGCGGCTTAGTCCTGCTGGCCACATGACCCGGAAGCTGTACGCCGGTTCCCTCGGCCAATAAAGCGAGATGAGCGCCGCAACCCCAGAGTCGGCCACGACTGGACCTAATGGTCAGGGGTCCCTTTACCTTCACCTGTTGCAAGAAAGGGGTGGAATAACTTGTCTCTCTTTCTCCCGCAAAGTCCCTGTGTTATTAAACCTCTGGTGGCTTTTTACCATATGTGGTGGGAAAGTGGAGAAATTAAAAAATTATGGGAAACGATATATAAAGAGTTGAAGAAAATGTTTAAATTATCATTTGTAAAAATAAAACCAGAATCGTTTCTGTTAGGGATTGTAGGAAAAGACTTGCCAAGGAAAATAAAGGACTTATTTATGTATGCGACAATGGCGGTGAGAGTCTTAATAGCACAAGGATGGAAGAATGAGGAAATCCCGACAAAAGAACAGTGGCAAGAAATCGATGGGTTTTGCAGAATTGGCAAAATTGACATGATACAAACTGCGAGACAAGGACAACTGTGACTTTAAAGAAGAATGGGAATTCTTTACAAATTACGGTGGACACTCGGGTTGCGAACGTTCGCCACCTGCAGCGTCCGCAACCCGCAGCGCTGCGATTCAGCGTTTCTGCGCATGCGCAAAGTGCGATTGGCGCTTCTGTGCATGCGCAAAGTGCCAGAACCCGGAAGTAACCCATTCCAGTGCTTCGGCACATCTGTAACCCGAAAACGCGCAACCTGAAGCGTCTGTAACCCGAAGTATGACTGTACTTTAAAAAACGAACAAAATGAATTGGCAGGCTTTGAATAAACATACACAAATTTATTGACGGTTGACAGATAGATAATTTAAGGACCTTTACCATCTTACAATAAGCAGAGAATAACACGTGTTGAAAAATCAGAGAGGAGCTGAGGGAACTTTCTTCTAGGGAGGGGGGAAAACGGTGGAAAAATGAAGATGATATGTTGTGATAATTTGTTATGTAAAATTCTTAATAAAACTATTTTTTAAAAAAATAAAATAAAAATAAACCTCTGGTGGCACCCCCTCTCCTTAGTCATCGTTCGTGTGAGTTTGGTCTATGGGCTGCAAGGGCGCAATTTTTTTTTCATGCACGACGACACCCGAGCGAGCGGAAACGCAAGCTTCTCAGAAGTCCCAGCTAACCACAGGTCTCCACCCTCGCCTCTCTGAAGGAAGCGCCGACTTGAGTCATTTGCTTTCGGTCTGCCAGTGGTGGGATCCGGCGGCCCCACAAGCCTCTCTCTTTCTCTCTCTCTCCCCATCTCTGCACCCTTCACGCGGCGGATCATGGCCGAGCATGAAAGCCTGGAGTTTGGGAAGGCCGATTTTGTCCTCCTAGACCAGGTCACCATGGAAGACTTCATGGAGAACCTGAAGCTGAGGTAACAACTTGGAAGTCTCGAGGGTTGTGAAAGATGGCGGGGCCGGGGGTCAGTTGTGTGGGGCCTGTGGGACTCACCGCCTCAGGATATGGCTAGGGAGGGTTGCTGGCAAGAGACTGAGGATGAGACGGAGGAAGAGAGCTGCTGGATCTGGTCCAAGGCTGGCTTCCCATTTCCCAGAGTGGCCAGCCACAGCCATTTAGCTGCGACTGCTGCGTTGCAGGTGGGTCAGGCTAGATGACCACTGCTGTCCCCTCCAGCTCCACAGCTCTTTGATTTCCCACAGCTGATGGGTAATCTACCTCTCCTTTAAATCAGAACCAGTAAAGGCGGTGAAGGTCCTGTGTGAGTGCCCGGAGGCGGTTGGAGGATGGATGGTGGCTAACAGATTAAGGTTGAATCCTGACAAGACAGAAGTACTGTTTTTGGGGGACAGGGAGCAGGCGGGTGTGGGAGACTCCCTGGTCCTGAATGGGGTCACTGTGCCCCTGAAGGACCAGTTGCGCAGCCTGGGAGTCATTTTGGACTCACAGCTGTCCATGGAGGCGCAAGTCAATTCTGTGTCCAGTGCAGCTGTCTACCAGCTCCATCTGGTACGCAGAATGAGACCCTACCTTTCCGCAGACTGTCTCGCCAGAGTGGTGCATGCTCTGCTTATCTCCCACTTGGACTACTGCAATGCGCTCTACGTGGGGCTACCTTTGAAGGTGACCCAGAAACTGCAATTAATACAGAATGCAGCAGCTAGACTGGTGACTGGGAGTGGCTGCCGGGACCACATAACACCGGTTCTGAGAGATCTGCATTGGCTCCCAGTACGTTTCCGAGCACAATTCAAAGTGTTGGTGCTGACCTTGAAAGCCCTAAACGGCCTCGGCCCAGTATACCTGAAGGAGCGTCTCCACCCCCATCATTCAGCCCGGACACTGAGGTCCAGCTCCGAGGGCCTTCTGGCGGTTCCCTCACTGCGAGAAGTGAGGTTACAGGGAACCAAGCAGAGGGCCTTCTCGGTGGTGGCGCCCGCCCTGTGGAACACCCTCCCTTCAGATGTGAAGGAAATAAGCAGCTATCTTCCCTTTAAAAGACACCTGAAGGCAGCCCTGTTCAGGGAAGTTTTTAATATTTAATGCTGTATTGTTTTTAAAACTTGATTGGGAGCCGCCCAGAGTGGCTGGGGAAACTCAGCCAGATGGGCGGGGTATAAATAATAAATTATTATTA